AATCTTTTCAATGTATCATGTTCAGCACTTCTTTTAATGTTATATATGAAATGCTCGATATATCATATTTAGTACTTCTTTTAATGTTATATATGATATACTCAATATATCATATATAGTACTCCTCTGCTTACGTGCACTCTTCGCTACGATGTTGTTATCTAAAGTCAGGAGTATATCCTGACAGTGATGAGTGATATATTGGGCCTTCTATGTACATATACCTACGTATGTTTAAAAGGTAACACGTCAACAGCATTAAAGAAATTTATCACAGATAGCACGATATTTTCATAAGCAGTCGCTGCAGGCAAGCGTTAACCCAATTAAATTTGTTTGTAACTTACATTTAAGGGAAATTGCACTTGCATTTACCGTGTTACTTATGTTCTGTTCTGAGTAGGCTAAATGAGTTACCCTCTCAGGCAGGTAAGAAAACCCCGTAGAAAATAACAATCGTTTTCTTCTCGCCGCTGTGGCAAGGCAAGTCATGAATCACTCGCAGTAAGGCTAGATAAATAACTAAACATTGAGAACGTTTTCGTTCTCAGCCATTGGTTCCGAAACTGAGAGAGTGAATCAAGTTAATTTAGGTTAAGTTGATATGAATATGCTTTTAACTGAATAAATATGCTTAACTTCATAAATGAAGTTAAGCTTTGGGATGATTAACGAATTTTGCGTGTAATGGAGTGTTTTAGTATTTAAATTTGGACCTTTGTATCGCCATTTTTTGAGACTTCGCATTGATCGATCGAAAAGAGTGGATGCGTATATACTTTTTTCAGACACCAATACAAGAGTTCGTTAGGCACTAATTTCTAGTGGCAAAAAATGGATGATTTTCAGGAAATCTTGACCTGAGCTGCAAGATGAGGAAATGCTTGTAAAAGACGAGCGGAAGTGCGGCCTGAGCTGGCGAGATGGGAAATGTCCCACCGAGTCCTGTTGCGGCGCAGCGGCCTAGACTCAACCAAACGTAACACGCAGGTTTGCACCGCGGGACACAAAGATGCTGCCCAATGGCAGCAGAACCAAACGTAACACGCAGGTTTGCCCGGCGGGACACAAAGATGTTGCCCGATGGTGTCAGAACCAAACGTAACACGCAGGTTTACCCCGCGGGACACAAAGATTCTGCCCGATGGCATCAGAACCAAACGTAACACGCAGGTTTGCCCCTCGGGGCACAAAGATGCTGCCCGATGGCATCAGAACCAAACGTAACATGCAGGTTCACCCCGTGGGGCACAAAGATGCTGCCCGATGGCATCAGAACCAAACGTAACATGCAGGTTTACCCCGCGGGACACAAAGATGTTGCCCGATGGCATCAGAACCAAACGTAACATGCAGGTTTATTCCGCGGGGCACAAAGATGTTGCCCGATGGCATCAGAACCAAACGTAACATGCAAGTTTACCCCGCGGGGCACAAAGATGTTGCCTGATGGCGTCAGATGTGACACAAGAAACCAAATGCCTCATGCAGGAGAATCCAAGCCCTGGCCACAAAGGGTTATATCCTTTTGCCAGCCAACGATGCCAAACAAATCCCAAACGTTAACTGCGAGTTCATCATTTACGTAGTCAGGTCCAGACTGTTTGCTAACGTTTGTCCGTTGTAGCCTAGTATAATAAAGAGCAATTGAGGCTTTTTTCGCACTAAAATATTTCGGCTCAATGTCGGTATTTAATTGAAAATTTTCATGACCAACATAGCTTCCGTCCAATAATTGTCCATGAGTTCATTTTGCAATACATGCACGCAACATGTATTGCTGTCTCGCATGTCAATCAGTGAGCGCATTACTAATATCCTATAAGTCGGATTCTATAAGTCGGATTGCATAGGTACAATTTCTTTTCAAGAAAGATTAACCAAAACATTTACAAAAATAAAGTTTTCGCATGCAAAAATAAGCAATTTATGATATAAGCAAAAATAAGCTCTAAAATTTCTTAATGTGATAGGTTTGGGCTTTTCACAATTAACCCTTAATATTTTTCACCCCAGCACTGCTTCCTATATTCACAAATCTCCCGCGATGGGTGAACCAACAACTTGTTATCTGCCGGATCAAACGATGCTTATCTCAAGGGGTGAGTGGCATACCTCCGTGGAGCGAATAAAGCTTGCAACTCTCCCATAATGTTCCTAAATATAGACTCTGGTCTTCCCCATGCATTATTTGGCTGATATGAATACCGCAGTTACAGCTCGATCTAGCCCGACAACCACTCTGCTCTGAACACCTCTAGCTGCTCTGAAGCGCTATACCCAAATCTCATGAAAACTCTGCTCTGAACACATCTGCTCTGAAGCGTTATACCCAAATCTCATGAAAACTCTGCTCTGAACACCTCTGCTCTGAAGCGCTATACCCAAATCTCATGAAAACTCTGCTCTTAACACCTCTGCTCTGAACACCTCTGCTCTGAACCTTAACTTGAAAACAAAGTGTGTCTGAACCCTTAAGTAATATAAAACGAAGCAATGCCTGAATGTAGGCCATTCACGTATCCGAGGGATGACCTATTACGGCTATAGGGCTGATAAGTCAAATTTTGAGCCTCTTATAATCTGTGTGAATTAGGAGTTTAATAGCGCGAACTTTCGCGTATTTGGGGAACGAACTGAAGAAGTCTATCATCATTCATCATGCACCTTGTTTGTGCCGGTCATGCTGAGTACCACTTGAAGATAACGCTTATCAGTCGAGGTCGCGACACGACCTGGCATTCCACTACGTACAGGGAACAATTGGTACAAAGTCTTAGCGGAAATGCAATGTATATATAGCAAACCAATCATATTCTGAACTACAAGTGCGCTCGCGATACACCATTTGTGTGCCTTTAATTTCTAAGTTTTTTTCTTGGAAACGTCAAACATATCTTGACACTATCATAAATAATCTATACAATTCTATCTACTTTTTCTTAACTACTCACGACAAACAACCTCAAAAATTAGAAAAATTAACACAATTCAGCAATTTATAATAGTATGACGATTTTGCACCACCGCTAATACGATCGATGCCCCGATTAATTAATGAAATAATTTTCCCTGAGCGTCGTCGGGATGTCCAGTTCCTGCAAGTCTGGGCTTTCCGCGAGTCGAGGGTAGCACGGTTTGAGCTGTTCGATTTTCCTCAGAAGCGGAGAAGTTTTTTGCTGTTCGACCTTGCGTCTTCGCCTCCAGTTCTGCTGCCCTGCTCAGAACGTACAACAATACAATGTTATCAAAACAGCGTGTTGACTGTGTGTTCATCACATTGTGCGTTTGTCTTCTGTATAGTACACAGAGCCTGCCACTGACAACACATAGCATAATGCTCAGCCCTGTATAGTGTCGTATGATGCACGTTATGTTCTTCACATCCATACTATGTCAAGGAATGAGAGATATTCTTTGAATATTTCGGACCACCATCGATGAACACCTCTAGGGTGTCCACCACCATCGATGTACGACTACCGCTTCGTGATGGTGGATACGACAATTGGAATTGAAACCGAGCCCAGGTCTATATACCCCATGAGGGACTGGCAGGACTAAACTTCCACCATCGAAATACGGATTAGAAGGCAATCTGGAATGAAATTGACTAACTTGATTGAAGAGAAGAGTTTTTTGACAAGAATTCAGAGGGAATTTACACAAAACAATGTGAGCTGCTGCTCAGACGATCAGCTGGTCGTCTGCCAACTGCTCAGACGATCAGCTGGTCGCCTGCCAACTGCTCAGACGATCACCTGGTCGTCTGCCAACTGCTCAGACGATCAGCTGGTCGTCTGCCAACTGCTCAGACGATCAGCTGGTCGCCTGCCAACTGCTCAGACGATCAGCTGGTCGCCTGCCAACTGCTCAGACGATCAGCTGGTCGNGCAGCCCAAGCAGTGCCCTTGCAGTGCAGCCCCAGCCAAGTGCCCTTGCAGTGCAGTCCAAGCAGTGCCTATACAGTGCCCATACAGTGTGCCACTGCAGTGACCATACTGCGCTTCTGTCATATGTTTTCTTCCTGAACGTGACTTCGAAGGAACTCAAATAAGGATGGCGAGCCCCGCAGTTTGGTGCTCGAATGTTTGGGCATTTAGGTGCAAGATTTTTTTGCAAGATAATTTTTGGTTATGCAAGATTGTTTTTAGGTCAGATATTTTAGTCTACCAAAATTTCTTCGTTAACTCAAAGTGTTTGTGTCCCATTCGTTCTTCGCAGCTAGTATATGTACGGCCAGTAGCTCTTCTTGCGATTCAGAACAGATTTTCACAATGGAAAAAAATGAAATGCTAATCGCAAAATTTGCATCGAAGATGTGAAAACTAATCAACTTTAAGGGTTCTATCGAAGATTGAAGCGAATAAAGGAAGCAATCAGTGAAAATCAGTGTTGAATCCTTGACAACTGAATAGTTATTTCATCGAGATCTTATGGAGTCAGATCAAAGCAAAAAATTTTCATTTGATACGAACAACGGGCTTGCGAACTGAGGTTTGATAGATCCTGCATAGTAATTCATAATTCAGCACAGGTATTGGAATTACGTCAATTAATAGATGTCATGAGATGCAAGCATTAAAAATATGTTGCTTATTACTTGCAATTCATTTCGGATCCTCTATGAAAAACTTGAGTATTGAACGTCCTTGCACGATCAAGGTAACGTAAAGATGTGAATGCAGTGGGTTTTTACTAGAATAAATCTATTTGACCCGGCCAGATTTTCCTCTTTCTTAAGAAAGGGGCTAAGGTAATGTTCCGACTGAAGGAGCTCCGAGAATAACAATGCAGTTGTTGATAATGTGACGTAGCAGTCCTAAATTGTAAAGTCCCTGCTCCATATCTGTCAGCGCAGTCTCGGTCAGATCGTTTCTGCGTACCTCCATCCCGAGAAATTCCCCCCGCCCCGCAACGTCTGGCAGTGCTTGGCATCTATCAGCTGCCGCGTGCATAAAAGCAACTCCGCTAGCCGCCAACGTTTAGTTTCTCAGCTGCACTCACATAAGTTGCAACGAGACTACGAGTGAAGTGGCTTGCAAGAGCACGAGCCCCAAGTGAAGTTTCAGTGTAGTGACAACTGCTACCCAGTCTCTTAGATTACATTTATGATAAATCCACAGTGAAATAATCTGAACAAATAATAATATTACCAAGTGAAAGTGCTGTGTAGAAATATTTAGTATTGGCGTTTTACAACGTACGTGATTATATTTTAATCCTTTGATTAGTGACAAGTTGAATAACAATTTCGACTTGGCCTTTTCGGATTACTGCCTGAGCAACAAATTAAAATATCAGGTAAGCCAAACGAATTCATATCATCTTTCTTCATTTGTACATTTTATATTTATTGTTCGCTTTATTTTATTATTCTTGATTGTATTTCTAATATATTTACTTTTGCACGCAATAATTCCAGAATCTGTATGATGCAGAATAAATGCGAGTTCCTGTATAACTCAAAAAAGTGAATTTGATGAACATTAGCATGCAAGCTACGAATTAACTCCATTTACATAGTTTTAGCTTTGTTACGCTACCACTTCCTGCGACGCTCAACATACTAATTTTGACAGGTACACGTTCTCATGTCGCTATTTTATCCCCACCAGACGCCCCAATGGCTACGGTGTCGCGACGATCAACCAAGCACCACCGACACAACATGAACAAGTACTCCTGTGAGTCGGAGAAGATTGCGCGCCCCACGGTGGACAGGCCTCTAGCTCAGCTCAACACTCAGCCCTTCGAAGTGCAGTACAGACTTGGCTCAGTGCTCGGTGAAGGAGGCTTTGGCAAAGTCTACAGCGCCATCAGAATTTCTGACCGCAAGCCTGTCGCTGTAAAGCAAGTTCCTCGCGCCAAAGTCCCTACCTGGGGCGTGGTAAGTGTCTTAAATATTTTTTTTAGTTAAACTGATAAAAACAAAACAATAGCCATTCAATAAATTTACTGCATTTCATATCATTTTTTAAGCTCATTTTAATCCTCTGATACCGTGAACAGATTTTGGATATTAGTAATGTAGATTAAAATTTTAATGATATAATTTCGATGGAGTATAGGTGAGGTTATCATTTTCCACCTTGCTGTGACCAGAGTTTCTCTAACCACATGTACGTGATCTTTGTTCGATTTCCGAATAATACTGTCGCATTGGAGGGCTTAAAGTCTATTGCGGTCGTTTGGTTAGTGCAGCCTCCTTGTCGTAGTCTACTCGTATTGTATATAATTGTGAGAGTTGGTTGATAGCAGCCTTCAAGTCACTAGATTCAGAGGTGGATGAGGCCATGAGACCGAGCTAGGTTGAGCACGCAGAGCGACCTAGTCCTACTTTCAGCGCGTTGCCCAACCGCCGCGACACAATACAGCGCACTGCGCAAGGCTGTTCGATCGTCGCCGCCAGACTCGCCAAGGTTTCTTCAGTATAAACGAACACTAGAACGTGCACACTCTATATATTCGCTTTGATATTCACCTGCTGCATTGATAAGTGCAGTCTTTCGTACGATATTTTCAGATAATCTGGAGTATTCAATCGTTGTCAAGTCTTGTCACAAATATATCAAATGCGCTTTGATTTACCGAATTTCTCATAAAATCTTTCGTGAATTTCGATAGTAAAAAACAATAATTAGTCGTACGATAATTTGATTAAAATAGATAACACTTTCGAGAGTGGCGCTCAAGGTTCCGTGAGTGTAGGTAGTTCGTAGTTGCTTGTTTTAAGTAGGAAGTGGCGAGGCGAACATAGGTTTGTCGAGCGCAGCTGCAGTTCGCATTGCAGGTCACTGGAGCAAGGTGACGTTTCAGCAATCGACCCAACTTCAATATCTCAAACGAGAATTTTGTTTAGTGGTGGACACTAGAGCGAGCTCCTTGCTTGGTCGCGAGTCTTTGCCTTGAAAGTTTCGTGTATGCTTTTGGTGAAGGTGAGTGTGCCTGAGCAGTGCGGTAGGTGAAGGCAAGTGAGTGGACGACTGAAGTGGTGAAGGTGCTTGGGGTGTGGTGCATCCCAAGCAAAGTCTTCGGCTTGCCCTAGTGACACACTTTGCAGATATAATCTCCCTACCATGAAAACTAATTATCATTCATGATAAAATATAATTTTTTGATTCAGTGCTTCAAAGAAATTGTCGAAAGACAATTATGTTATTATGTTCCAGATATTACGTTTATAATCAATGAATTTATGTGAGCCTTTGTTTTTTCGAGTGAGTTCATGGAATCTTCAATCTTCACAATCGGAATAAGCTTTTTAGAGTGAGTTCATTGAATGTTCACAATCGGAATAAGCTTTTTAGAGTGAGTTCATTGAATGTTCACAATCGGAATAAGCTCAAACCAAAGCTTGCAATGACTTAACGCAAGAATTTCGCTTAGCAATGCTCAGTGAAAGTAGGTGCTAGCGGACCAGCAGCTGTTGCCGCTCGTGGGGAAAGGGGCTAGTTTCAATTTAGGTCAGCTGGTGGGGCTCGTGTGTCTCCTCAGGCGATCTCCCCACTCGCACCCAACAACAAACCCCGAATTGGGGGAAACCTTCTTTCCTTTTTTGGTTCGTCTGGAGCTTCTTGCTCGTTTGATTTGTGGCGCGATACTTGATTGACGAGTTTCAATACAGCTTCTGTTACGTGGTAAAGTTTCTGGTCCATCTTTATGGGTTGAAGTCTTGCGTGAAAGTTCTATTACATAACTGGGAGGAGCTTGGACTCTTGTATCAAGTTCCCGCGTTACGAGCTCGGTAGAAAGTTGTTTAGTGAAATCAGTTGCTTTGTCTGTCTGCTCATTCGTCCTGCAGTTGGAGAAAGTGTCTGGTTGCCTGATTATTACCACTCCAGTTCTCGTGTAACTGCCCGAAATAAACTGCTTGACCTAATTCTTTCTTTGTTGCCAAATGCCCTCTACTTCGTCACCACATTCTCCCTTGCTTAAGTGGTATCGTGTCATTCACTAAGAAGAGTATTATTATGTACAAATTTTTGTTGTTTTTGTCATCAATTACCTGCAATATTCCCTTTTGTTGTTATCATTTATAAAAAATCTAAATAAGATGTTCTCTTTCTTCTCCAGGTCCAAGGAGACATGGTGCCCATGGAAGTGGTCCTCCTCCGCAAAGTTAACCACATTGAGGGAGCCATTCACTTGATTGAGTGGTTCGAGTATGGCGACTGCTTCCTCATCATCATGGAACGACCAGAAAGATGTGAAGATCTCTACGATTATATTACTGGCAACAGGCGCCTTGAAGAATCAGAAGCCCGATACCTCTTTAGACAAGTAAGGGAAATCATATTGACTTTTTTTACAAACTTGCGATACTACACTGTTATCTGCCATAAACCAGACCAAGGCAGTATGGGCTCGATGATAATGGCTGGTCTTCGTTTTGTTGCAGGTTGTTGAGATTGTGCGAGATATTGAAGCTGCCGGAGTTACACACAGAGATATTAAGGATGAAAATCTACTCGTCGTCCCTGACGAGTTCGGCAACAATAAAATCAAGTTAATCGATTTTGGATCTGGTGCTCTCGTCCAAGATTCTCCTTTCTCAGACTTCGAAGGTAAGCGTCGAGCTTGTTGTGATAAAAACTGATATATTTTGTATGAATGAAATTCATTTTAGTAGTACTATATAACTTTTATATTTATTTAATTTCTTTATTCTCTCTTTGCAGGAACCAGACAATATTCCCCTCCTGAATGGATTCTCCGCTCTACTTATCAAGGACTCCCTGCCACCGTTTGGTCATTGGGCATCCTTCTTTACGATATGGTCTGCGGAGACATTCCCTTCGAAGTTGACAATCAGATTTTGAGCAATCAGATCAGTTTTAGAGGCCTTAATATTAGCAAAGAATGTAAAAATCTTATTCACCAATGCCTTCAATTCCTTCCGAAGAATCGCCCCAGCCTCGAGAAAATGTTGCGGCATGAATGGTTTCAGACCGACGAATCTAACAGCTACGGAGTGAATAACATTGACTCAACCGTCGAAGTTGGAGAAGAGGCTGTAGACTTGACGACGCTGGCTGAAGGCATCGATAGTTTAGGGGCCTTCGGTGTAGACAGTCGAGGCCCTCAGACCAGCGGGGGTAGTAACGGTGAGGATCATTTGGATGAAGATGAGGATGACGAAGAGGACGAGCATAATATTGGCCTTAGATATTAACTGTGGTCCATTGGTCCTAAACTCTTGTGTCTTGGGCAGTCTGGCCTTGAAACTCCATACTTGAGTAGTCTGCTCGTTTTGTCCTTAAGCAAAAATCAAAGAAGAAAATTAGGAGCAATTGAAGGAGAACGATGCATTGTTCGAGCTGTGATTTGATCTTATTTATCAACGGAATATCAATTAAGCGTTGTTGCACCCTTATGCTTGTTTAGTCATCATAATCATAGAGCGTCAGTTATACGCTGTAATACTAAGTTAATTATTTAGTTCTGTTTTTGTACACTTTTGTCTCCTGGCTGCTAGTGATCATGTACATTTATATACATATATTATTATTTTATGAAACTGTCAATATTTTTCTATCCACATGGCCAAGTTTTATTCTTGGACACGGCTAGATGATTAAAATGTTCCTAAGGAGCTGCAGTTCAGTTCACTATCGAATTTTTTATTTTTATTTTATTTTTTGGTACACGCGCTTCTCGGAAAGTGATAATACCTTGAAACGAACGCACGAGCCTAGCAATACTAATGCTAGTTACCTAATTCAGTCAGATTCCAATAGTGCACTCAACTGTCAGCTCCGCCTAACAACGTTAGTAATGTCTGCTCCACTCACGAGTCAGTGATTGGTGTACTAGGTATGATGTCTGTGAGTCATTACCGATGTATTTCTCCTGCTATCCTGATCAAGGTTATAATCGTTATAATATTACTCATTTATTACTGCCTGGGAAGGCTGCCCGCGCCATACGCTGTGCATGGTCGGGTGTCTTACGATCCTACGACCAAAGCTCGTGCCTTTGTGATGATGAATGGAGGGAGGATGAACTCTTGTATTGAGCGATGAATGGAGTGTGGATTATCTGCTGCATTGATGTCTGAATTACAGCATTGATAGTAGTAGTGACAAGGCTAATATAGCGACGACCTTTATTGGGAAATAATTATCGTTAGTCAATTGGAAAAATGTTATTTTAAATGAATGTGACATATCAATGAGTGAATCTAAAGCGTAAAGTATTATCGTATTATTGCATGTTGTTCACGTTTTCTCCTTGCAATGTGATGTATGTACATATTGTACGTCCAAGTGTGGCTTAGAAGAGAGTATTGTAACTCACACTGGCTTTTAAGCCGTGTCAACAGTTATATAGCGTCGGTGACTTCCAGTTGATAAGTGGACATCGTGCTTCAGGGTCTCGATAAATTCTCGAGACTTTCTACTTTGTGTTGTATGTGTGCCTCGGTTGGTTGTAAACAGGGTATTCATTTAGTGATGTTTAGGATAGATAATTCCGTAATAGAACGGTTATGTTGCCTTGACTTGGATGATGCGTCGAGAACGCCCTCCACTTCTTAGTTGACAAAGATATTTCAAGGCCGTCTCAACGTGGCTTTCAATTTGTCATAAGAGTAGGAAGGCTTCTTCATTGCTGCGTTCTACAAGTACCATTAAATATTTTCTCTACAATATCAAGCTTTGTAACCAAAAGCTTTGTCGACCAATCTCATTGTCAACTATGTGAATTCAAATTATAACCGAATATTTTTGTAAAAGTTTTTTAATAAATTTTACTGCTTGTCTGTTCTGTTCCTTGTCTGACCACATAATCAAGCTCCGAAGACGACGATTTACAGTGATCGGTCCAACGCTAAATAAGTTAGGCGTTATTAGTGTACAAAAACTGGGCGTAAAGTAAACCCACTGCGTGAAAACGAAGTGGCCGGAAAAAAATCTGACAGCGCTCGCAAGAGTGTATTGTGACTGAATAACTTCTTTGTTAATTTGATCGAAATCAGTTTTAGTTTGAAAAAATTTGCGTTTGAAACGTTCTAAAGTTTGAAGTTTAGAGAGCTAATCGAAAACGAAGCGGACAAGAGGAATATTCTGACCGCGCTCTTGGGAGCGCCTAGTAGAGGAGCAGCTTTGTTTTTGATTATGTCAAGATCGGTTATCACTTGAAAAATGTATGCGTCGAAAATGCGCTAAATATCGGCAGTTAGCACGCTAATTAAAATCGAAATATAAAAAATCTTTCAAGACACGCAGGACAATTAACTTCACTTTTAATTTGGTCAAGATTGCCTTTTGACTTTACAAATTTTAACGTAGAAAACCTGCTATGAAAATTCGTCCCAAAAGCTTCGTTGCGGTTTAGTCCTGTATTTCCTGTATAGCGATTCCTTCTCTATATTGATACTTGTTCTCATAACCAGAAGGTAAAGTGTACCTTGAACTCGGACTATGTACATTTGAATCCCTCTTGGTGACCTGTAAGTCACCACTCCAGAAGTCACAAGCTCGGGCCTTATCATATTGCCTCATCGCTGTTTTACAATCAACATAAGAGAGGCGCGTGTAGGGTCGCCATCTTGGCCGCATCACAACACACACTTCTTCTTTCACACCGGAAGTAAAGCCACGTTAATCGTTGGGATGCACACAATTTGCCTGTATTGAGCGGCGTGTGCAGCCTGCGTCATGTTATGTGTTTGTTGTGTGTTTGTGTCGCCACGAGATACGCGAGAGATAAGTCAGTTCTCAGTATATCCACTTCACTTCGGCCTTTACGAGTCACTGTTGCATCTCTCAATGCTGCGAGTTACGTAATGATCTAAATTATATGTATCGTATTTATCTAAAATATCTCAAAATATAAAAAATCTAAAATTACGTATTAATGTTCTAAATTATATGCATTCTTAGCCGCATAATTATTCAGAGATAATGAAAGCTCACAGTTCACAAAAAGTAAATCAAAATCTTGTTTTTAATGTCGACGGTTGAGCTTTTCATGGGGGAAAATGCAGTCACACGCATCGGTGATGAACGACACGCACGGATGATCTGTTACACGAATGTCTGATCAGATGATCAGTTACACGAATGTCTGATCAGATAATTAGTTACACGAATATCTGATCAGATGATCTATTACACGAATGTCTGATCAGGTGATCTGTTACACGAATGTCTGATCAGGTGATCTGTTACACGAATTTCTGATCAGATGATCAGTTACACGAATGTCTGAACAGATGATCTGTTACACGAATGTCTGATCAGTATGTCTGATCAGATGATCAGTTACACGAATGTCTGATCAGATGATCTGTTACACGAATGTCTGATCAGATGATTAGTTACATGGATGTGTGATCAGATGATTAAAGGATGTCCCAAGATGTTTCCGACAGGGTCGCTGTGTTTTTCACCAGCATACTGTATATATAAGAGGTTCAGTTTTCACTAGTATAAATGTATATGACGTTCAGTTTTCGGAGTATAAATATATATGAATTTAAATTTTCACCTGTATAAATATATATGACGTTCAGTTTTCAACAGTATAAAAATATATGGTGTTCAGTTTTCACCAATATAAATATATATGACGTTCAGTTTTCACCAATATAAATATATATGACGTTCAGTTTTCACAGTATAAATATATATGACGTTCAGTTTTCACCAGCATAAATATATGGTGTTCAGTTTTCACCAGTATAAATATATATGGCGTACAGTTTTATCACGTGGACGATGCAGCGTGGCTGATGAGCTCTCAAATCTCCTCTGATACACCTTTAATGTGCCACTGATACACCGAGTATACACGATGTAGCGTATATCCTACTAGCTAAAATATGAGATCCTACTACCTATGATATGAGATCCTACTACCTATAATATGAGATCCTACTACCTATAATATGAGATATCCTACTACCTATGATATGAGATATCCTATACCAGTTTCACCATTGATGCGGTCGCTGCACTCAGCTGCTGCGTCCACCTCTGACGCCTGGCGTTCTCTAGACCAGCTAACATTCGTCTCATGTGAACGCGGTCTTCAAATGATAAAAAAAATATAACTCAGTAGTACTCACTGCAGTGAGTGACAGAGAGCGCATTTTCTCGTCGACGAAAACTTAGAGATTCACGAATTTCTGTATACTTCATATCTAATATTGCACTCGCAATTTTTTCCCATGCGTGACAAAGAAAATTTTCACTGTCAGCCGCGTAAATATCATGAAATCGCTTCCTTGTGGACATTTTCATGGAAATTCTATCAATTCCTACTAAATAAGACAGGCTCGCTCAGTGTCCAAAAACTGAGCATGCAAGCGAATGGGAGACTTGCACACATCGGGGACCTTCCGACACTGCGTCTTCGGGGGTAAATTAGGACCGGCAGTTTCATCTCATTTTAACAATCAAGAATAATTACCTTGATTGGAAAGGTGATTATCTGCACATTAATAATTGGCCAAAGTGCAAAGGTGATGGTCTGCACCCCTCCCCTCCCCCTACAATAGGACCTGGTCAGCACCTTAATAATTACCTAGAGTACAAAGGTGATGGTCTGTAACCCTCCACCCCACAAGAGGACCTGGTCAGCACCTTAACAATTACCTAGAGTGCAAAGGTGATGGTCTGTAACCCCTCCCCCCACAAGAGGACCTGGTCAGCACCTTAATAATTGCCGAGAGTGCAAAGGTGATGGTCTGCACCCTCCTCCCAGCAAGAAGACCTGGTCAGCACCTTAATAATTGTATTTCTGTGTTAGATTATAGCGCGATTGCCAAACGTGAGTGCCAAGAGCGAGTGGCAAGAGCGGGTGGCAAGTGTGAGTGGCAAGAGCGGGTGGCAAGTGTGAGTGGGTAGCATGAGTGGAAAACGTGGGTGGAAAGTGCGAGAGGACCGTAATTAGAGCTATTAATTAGGCCTAGAAATTCGACCTATTAATTAGACCCATTAAGGAGACCTATTAGGGAAGTGTGAGTGGGTAGCATGAGTGGGAAGTGTGAGAGGACCGATCTTAATAATTTTATTTTCATAAGCGCCAACCCGTTGACTCAGCAGTGATAAACATACAGACAGCACAGGGTCTATTGCTCCAGAATTTATAGTATTCTCATTTCAATTATTCATGGGCAGGGCGTTTAGCTCCTGCCGGGGGACATGATTTATTAATTATAATAGTTTGCTTTAAATAGATTTTTACAATAAAAGAAATGTATTCAGTGTCACATTATATATTTTACGGGTTTAGAGAGGATGGTGTCAAATAAAAATATTATCTTATAGTGGCAGTTACTGAACCTGATTTTGCTTAGTGCAGCAGTACATCGCAGTTCTCGTCTTGGACATTTTTGTTCCTTTGTTGCTGTTAACTTGCCTGTTTTAAAGCAACATTGCCTATTTTGTCGAAATAAATCACTTTAAGACATGTGAAGTGCAGCGCCTTTAATTGCCTATTGTGAGAGCACTTTTTGAATGTTTGTGATGGATTTTCCGCCGTAGATGACATTCTAAACGTCCGGTCACAGTTC